TATCCTGGCTCCCCTGCTGTTTGCATTAGGATAAGTCAAATATCTTCAAGAGCTACCTGTAGGATGTGTGGACTATGTTTCCATGGAACGGAACCAACTGGCTGGGTCGGACTCCAGAACGGACCAATCCTCTGACATGGTTCGGAGCTCGTCCGCCCTGCTTTGTGTTTCCTGGACGGGCCACATGTGGAGCTGGTTTGTTGCCTGTTGTGTCCCTAGTTCTTTCTGTATGTCTTCTTTTGTCTCCTTGAACCCCAGTTGGCCTCTGCAGATGGCCAGTCACGCTGAGCCTGGTTCTGATGGAGATATTTTCCTGTTAAAAGGGAGTTTTTCCTCTCCACTGTCGCTACAAGCATGCTTAGTGTGAGTTATTGCCTTCGAGTCAATGAGTCGATGAAATCAGCTGGTTTTCCTTAAGTAAAACACTTTGAATCAATTTGACTGTATGATCTGGTTGGATTGTAAAGTGTCTTGAGATGACATGTTGTGAATTGGCGCTATAGAAATAAAGTGAACTGAACTGAAATTGATTTGAATCCCCCCGCGCCCCCATTATACTGAGCCAAAAAGTAAACATTGTTTCCCCTCTTTCGTTGCTTGGGCAAAAAATAGGTAGAATAGATTTTTACCTGTGTTTTTGTGTTTTATCTGTATGTGGCTACACGGTGGCACAGTGTGTACCACAAGACGGTTCTCGTTTTGATTCCTGGCCTTGTGTCTTTCTGCATGGAGTTTGCTAGTTCTCCCCATGCATGCCTGGGTCCGTTCTGGGTACTCCGACTTCCTCAAACAGTCCAAAAACATGACTGTTTGGCATTTCCAATTTGTCCTTAGGTGTGTGAGGATGGTTGGATATCTTTGTGTTGCCCTGCGACAGATATGCCAGCTGTCCAGCATGTGCCCCACATCTCGCCCATAGACTGGTGGAAACAGGCACCAGCCCCTAGCCTCGTGAGACCATCCTGATCTCGCGAGCTTTCAAGGTTTGACTCACAGATCAGTCTGGAGACTCTCCGTTGAAGAAAATTTGGAGCCGTTCACCAAACGAACATCCAATCAGCGTTGGCTTTGAGGCGGGGTGAGGTGTGACGCAACGAGAAGCGCGACAGTTCAGTCTAAAGAACATGGTGGCTTCAGCCGATGAAACTAGCGTTAGCGTGGCTATCGAGCAAGTTTTATCGGAATTACAGAGTATTTCTTCACTGAAAGAAGAGCAAAACACTGCTCTGGAGGCTTTTCTCAGAGGAAAAGATGTTTTTGCTCTTCTCCCGACTGGTTTCGGCAAGAGTAGCCTGGCTTGTGGTTGTGTTTTCGTCGTCGCTCTGTTAGTACGTCATATGCTTCGTTGATCTGATTGGTTTATTTGGCCCGTCTATCACCAACATAGGCCAATCAGCTAACCAGTATTTTCGCCCCTTCCCAAAATTCAACGGAAGGTTTCCAGATGGATATGCGGAGCAAATCAATCTGGCGGAGTCAGGTTATCCAGCCCCACCATGACCCTGACAAAATAAGCAGGAGAAGATGGAAGGAGGGACGAATGTTTGTGTTTAATCTGAAAGAATCTTTCTGATATCAGCTGCTGAAGGTTTTTAAGTAAGAGTTCTGAACTGAGTGCTAATGCTCCCTGAGCCTGACTGAACAATCCATGCTGTTTGTTACGGTCTGCTTAATTCCTCTTTCTATATTTGTCTGAAGAGTTACGATACTACGGTTGGACCGGTAAGCATCGTTAGCTTTAAGCTACCTCATCGCCTGCAGCCATTGGTAGCAGGCATTTTGCGCCTCTCCTAACCCTTTTTTTTTTAGGTGGTCCACCCGGTACCGGATATCCTGTGCAAGCTGAATCAACCAATTCTTTCCAGCGTCACCATATTTTAACACATCCTTGAGTCATTTTTCATTGTACAACCAGGTGAAATTTCACTGTTTTCTATTGCATTTGAAATCTCTGTGTTAAGACTATTCATATTTATTTTCTGCTATTTTAACGGACACCTTAAATGCATTAAGTTTAAAAATGAACATTCCTCAGAGACTCTTAAAGGAATAGTACACCCAAAACATGACATGACATGACGCATTCAGCGTCTGCTCTGCCGATAATGCAAGCGTAGAAGAAGAAATGTGCTGTTTACCTGTGCAAAGAAAGAAACAACAAAAGAAAAATGTCTGAGGACTTCAGTGTTGAGGAAGAGCATGAGTTCTTTGCCGAGCTGAATGCGCACTTTCATCTGGTTTGGTCTGCCGCGGTTTCCGTAGACTCGTGAACGCGCTTTTAGGAAATCCTATACACTACTGTTTATGCTCTAAAAACATTCTAAATGACTTCGTTTCGAGTAAATTCTGGACGCTACCCACTCAGGACACTTGGAATACATTGGACGAGCAGTATGGAGGAATATTGACACGTTTTTTGTGGACTTTTATGGACCTTTCTGCCTCGGGCGCCATAGACCTCCATTATTTGAATGTCAGCAGACAGCAAGAAGCCTCCCAGATCTCCAGATGCATTTGAGATATCAAAAAGGTTCTCCAGAGTGTTGTTCAGCATGGGGGTGAGTAGAAAATGAAGGCTAATCATGTTTTGGGTGTACTATTCCTTTAAAAGGACTCTTAAAACCCATTTTTCCCTTTTTGTTTGCTTATTTTGCTAATGTTCAGTAGTGTTAAGTGTTTGTGTAGTTATTAGTGATAGGGTTAATGATAATAACCCCTTATTGTCCTTGAAAGAAAGCAACACAGGACACAAGTTACTTTTCTGCAGAAGAGGAGAGTGGAACCAGATGGAGAATGAGAATCCCTGAATGTCTGTGTTCCACTCTGCCAGGAAACCTCTGTCCCCTGCCGTTATTATCAGATATCAAAGAAGTATCAGGAGGGCTCAGAAGTTTACACATGATAAAGCATGACACTTCCTTGTGCAGTTTTATTGCGGGTGGTGATAAAATGATCACATTCTTAATTTTCTAACAATTAAATACAATACTGTGTGAGTATTAGCTAATAAAGGTACCACTGTATTTTAACCCTGGGGTCTTTTGTGTTTATTTTAAGTAGTGAGCGATTTATCATTCAGGCCAGATTCACCTTCCTTTGAGTAACATTTAAATGAACAGAGACAATTCCTTTGGTTGGTGATTAGTTACTTTGCAGATAGCCATAGTCTAAATTACTAAGTTGGTGAAGGCAACTGGATCTTAACAGCCAATGCAGGAGTCTGACCATTATGTAAAAGACTAAGAACCCTGGTGAGTAAGACAATTATAGTTATCATCATTCAAGTAATCATTTTTTTTTTCTTAACCCTCGATTTGTATGACTTTTTAATCAACTATAACTTCCATTTCTAGTTACTTAATATATACATACTCTTCTGGTTTTTAAATTTGTCCACTATACTTGAAAAGATCTGGAATGTGCTCCATTTGACATCTGCAGTGTTTTATACTTTTCATCCTTTTAGGAGAAATCTATGTTTGATACTTTAGTAAACATTAAGGTAATTCTGGTTAAGAGATAGTGTGTCTCTTCATTCTTCTTACTTTGTGCAACACTCAGTTATAACCCTGTTATAACTGTTAATATATCAGTACTAAAATAATCTTAAATGAAATTCTAAGAAGGCTTGAACCTGTTTGACCTCTGATACATTAAATAAGTATATGGATGATGCATTTGTGCAAATATTCCAAAGGAAATTTGTTTTAAAAAAAGCATTTGAAATTTACAAACTTGAGTCAGGTATATTTAAAAAGTTGCTTAAATAAAAAGAAGTGAACCATCTTCAAAATTGTAATCAGCATTCAAATTAAATATAACTTCCTATATTTAATATTTTCATTCATATATTTTTCAGATGCACGAGTTTCTGTATCAGGGTTGCATTAAGGAATGTCCATGAAATATTTAACGATCCAAATAGAATTTTCCTCGAATTCTGGAAACACCTGTAAGGAAACTTTAAATTAACGTAAACTTTATAAACCTTAAGTAGCTAAACCAGATAATTAACAATTCCCCTGTTACCGGCTTTTCATCTGCTGTTCATTTTACAAATACATCATTCAACTTTGCTCATGTTATGAAAACTTGTTAAAGAGTTTTTCTGAAAGGTTTATATTCAAAAAATTCTGAAACTGTTATAAATGCTGATTGCAAATTAATTAAAAGCTTTTGATGATTAAATATTGTGTGTCTAGAATCAAATGGTGATATGAAAATTGTCAGGGATTGGTAGTGTAAGACAGAAACAACCCTGTTAAAGTAAGTAAGTGTTTTACCTAACAGTCTAACAGGGGGAAAAGTTTTTTTCCTGATTTTTAAAACTTGTGTAAAAAACATATTTCTTTGACTTGTTAAGAAAACTGCTTTTAATCATTATCCATATTTGGGGTTGTTACGCTAAATAAAAAAAGTTAGGTATTGATTCATGATTAAATGTCTACCTCAGATTTAAAAACAACAATTGCTGCAAAATTAGAAAGGAGAACAAATGTCTTTATTGGAATTTAATGGTAGAAATCCATGATCCTCCTCATGCTCATGCCTCCATATCCTCTCCCTGAAGCTCCTGTGCTCTCAGAGCATCAGGTACATAATGTGGCCTTTGTGGTGGCATTTGTAGGATTTGAATCTGAGAAAATGTTAATATCAATGTATTTGGTTTGGAAAAGAAAAGCTTTTTTAGGGAAATGGGTTAGTAACAGGATAATAAGGTTGCTTGGATTGAAAAACACACTTGATAGCCATTTTAATTGAACATTGATTAAAAGTTCTTGGTCTGCAAGCAGTTGAAACCACAATTTTTAGATTTTATTTAATCTGTTTTGGTAATTTAGCAGTATGCAGTTTTAGGATCAAGATATACAGTGTTGTGTAGATGAAATTAACATCTTTATCACAGATATTAACAGTCAGTAAAAGACACAAGCTGATTTTGGACTCATGATTAAATGCATCTTCTTCAGAAAAAAAAAAAAACAAGGACTGCCGCAAAATTAGAAAATAGAGCAAATATCTTTATTGTAATTTAGTAGTAGGAATCCATGATCCTCCTCATGCTCATGAAATTAGTGCCTCCATATCCCATCTCCCTAAAGCTCCTGTACTCTCCGGGCCTCAGGTACATCATGCGGCCTCGATAGTGGGGCTGCTCGTACATCAGCCAGTGACCGTCCATCACGTGGCAGGACATGCAGTTGGACATACGGTAGCGGTCCATGATGTTGTCACAGTCGTCCATACACTCATGCATCTGACCACCGAAGTTCTCCCTCTCATAGATCCTCATCCTGTAGGATCCCCTGTGCTGTAGACCAAACATTATTAGATCAGGCTTTGCAGGTCAGGGTAAACATCTATGCAGAAAGGAAAGGCCATACCATGGGGATCATACGGCAGGACCTAATGCAGTCAGACATTCCCATCATGCTCATGTAGTCAGCGTACTCGCCCCTCCTCATGAAGTACTGGTTTCCCATGTAGTTGGGGCGGTCGTAAACCATGAAGCATCCACTTTCCACCCTGCAGGAGTGACACCTGCTCAGGTAAGAGGTGAGCTCAGCACAGTCACTGCTGGTCTCATAGTGGCGACCCTGGAAGTTCCTGTCCTCGTAGAAGATGATCTGAAAAGATTAATGTACAAATAAAAGCTTTTTAGAAAAAGAGGAATCTGTTCATTATATTTTATCTGATATATTAATGATTTTAATGATATATACCTACCTTGCCCATGATCACAGCCTTCTGTTTGCTCCTCTAGGACTGATCTGTGGCTGAAGTGAGCTTCTGGCAGCGGCTGCTGTTACTTTTATACTTGCTGAAAATATAAATGTATGTTGGACTTCTATTGTAAAAAAGTCCTCGATCAGCAGCATGCCATAAAAGACTATGGAGCAGCTGGGGCACCAAAGGGTCATGATCCAGCAGTATGCTATTCTGGTGGAAATGCATGCACTGCATACGTCTATCATTGTTGTTTAACATAAAGAAAATAATGAGAAGTTTCTAAGCTTAATATAACAACCAGTCTTGTGATAATCAGTAATTTGGAAATGTGACAGTAACTGACAAAAAAAAATTTTTGTAAAACAAAAACCATAAATTACGGAAGAGGATTAGGGCCACTGAAAAAAAAACAAAAAAAAAAGTTAACTGATTTTTTTTTTATTTTATTTCAGTATAGTATGGGGAAAAAAGTCATAATTCTGACTTTAATCTCAGAATTCTGACTTTTTTTCTCAGAATTCTGACTTTAATCTCAGAATTGTGGATCTTAATGTAGATGGGCACCATGAAGGAATAGATGTGGAGCACTCAGCTTCACTGACAAAGATGTGAGTTGTTTGAGGTGGCCAGTGACACATTGGTGGAAAATGATGGAATTAGGCAACTTTTTACTTGCCTGAGGGGTCCCCTCATTAATGGAGGAGCAGAAGGTCATTAAAACAAGAGAGCTAGTCTCTAAAACAGACATGGCTATGGCTGGATGCTAACATGTTTGCTAGCTGTCAGAATTCTGAAAAAAAAAGTCAGAATTCTGACTTTTTTTCCCATGTTAAACTGAAATAAAATTTAAAAATCAGTTAACTTTTTTTTTTTCAATGGCCCCAATCCTCTTCCGTAATAAATTCAGCCTACGCGGAGAAAAAATTGTATGTTAAATCCAAATTCTAAAACGTTAATAATATTATACTACAGTGTATTTGTACCGTACTTAAAAAGGCCTGCTGACTTGTTTTGCTTGATCCAATAGATTGTGACAGTTTTAATAATTAAATCATCAATGTGTGGAGAGATTATTCCAGATAAGTTCGTTATGGGGTTTAAACATCCCAAAAATCATCTAAAGATGGAAGTGGATATCAGTCACATAAATAAAACATCTATTACAACAGTTAATTTAATATCCAATTTCTATGAGTTATATTTCTATTGTGCTAATTCACAACACATGTCAAAACACTAAACAGTGTCAATTCAGTTAAATCATACAGACATATTTACAAATAGGCATTCTATCTAAAAACACCAATCAGATTGCATTGAGTCACTGACATGCAGGATTTACTCTGGGTGGATGACCATGCTCTGACAGTGGACACTCATTGCATTGTGTTGTTGACTTTACAGTAAAAGCAGGCTTAATGTGAAAAGCCTTCTGTCACAATCAAATGGGATTTGAGGAGACAGATTAGAAAAACTGATCCAGGAGTATGTTTTATGGTAAAGAAGTAAATTGTAAACTAGACAGTTAAGCAAATGAGCTAAGAGTCGGTTTCTTGATCAAAATCATTAAAGAGAGCTGAAGGTTAGTTGCAATAATAACAGAACTCTTTGAGTAGGTCAGTGTGATATTTTACCAGAAGATTAGGAATATATCAAGAACTGGAAGATGTAATAGATCATTCGAAATCGAAGATAAAGCCAAATGTTATTAGTTGAATGATGGGCTGCTTAGTGGAGTAATGGTTAGCTCTGCTGCCATGCAGAAAGAAAATTCCAGGTTTCATTCCCATAATCTCCTTACTCACCAGGATAACTCCTGGACCAGCTCTTTAAAATCTGCACCAATTTAGTAAATTAGGCTATGGCTAACAGCAGATTCTTAATCACCAACCAAAGAAAACTGTCTCTGTTTATTCAAATTTTACCATAGAGGGTGAATCTTACTTGAGTGAAAAATCATTCGCTGAACAGTAAACACAAACTACTACCGCAGAGGTAATCAATTAAAAGTCAGCAGGATTCAAATAGAGAAAATCCTCAACCAGTAAAGGTCCGGAGACATTTCTAATTAGAATCTGCTACTAAGTTAACACTGAAATAAAATAAGGTTTTTATGCATCCATGTTATACATTGAAATTGTAAATAATAAAATATTTAAAGAATTTTTTGAAGTAGAGAACAACAATCAATAAGTTTGGTATATAAACAATTTCCTGATTCACATATTTTACAAAACACCTGAACTGAGCGTGCAGTGGGCTTTAGGCTGCCCTGCAAGGCTTTAAACCTGGGTTTGAATGGAGACAAAGCCATTTTCAAGCACATATCATTTTGAGCCTGGATCCAGATTTATTGTTGATTCTGTTCATGGTGGAGAATCCTGCTTCACAGCAGCAGGTTAAGCCAAACATCCTCTAAATGTGCAGGGTCAGCTTTGAGCACGCCATTTTACTTTTCTTTCACCAGTTCACCGCAGTTCTTCCAGCAGTCCACACTTTCTCTGCTCTCTTTTTCTCATCGTCTTCTCCTTCTTTCCCATCGCCCGGCTTGCCACAGGTTTGCCTGCTGTGTCTAAAAGTAGCAGCAGCAGCAACCCAGACTGACAGCAGCTCATTGGCTCATTTGGATCACATGCAGCCTGGAGCCGGACGCTCCCCAGGGCTTTACCGTATTAACAGGAGAAGAGGCGCAAGGGAAGTTAGAAACTGCCATCAGACAACATGCAGTAATTTATTAATGTTTTAGGCAAGGCAAGGCAAATTTATTTGTATAGCACAATTCAGTACAAAGACAATGCAAAGTGATTTACATTATTAAAATACAGGAAGATAAAACAGAATCAAAGCAAGTAGGAAAAAATAAAATAAAATAAAAAATGCAGAAACAAAAAAGAATATTAAAAACAGTTGGACTAAAGAAAATATGTTTCAGTTGAACTGTTTAACTAGAACAGTGGAAGGCAATCCTAAACAAATGTGTTTTTAGTCTTGATTTAAAGGAACTCAGGCTTTCCGCACTTTTACAGTTTTCTGGAAGTTTGTTCCAGATAAGTGGAGCATAGGAACTAAATGCTGCTTCTCCATGTTTAGTTCTGATTCCAGGTATGCAGAGCAGGCTGGAGCCAGAAGACCTGAGTGGTCTGGAGGGTTGATACACTGATAGCAAGTCTGTGATGTATTTAGGTGCTAAGCCATTCAGAGATTTATAGACTAACAGAAGTATTTTAAAGTCTATTCTCTGAGATACAGGGAGCCATTGGAAGGACTTTAGAACTGGGGTGATGTTCTCTACTTTCTTAGTCTTAGTGAGGACACGGGCAGCAGCGTTCTGGATCAGCTGCAGCTGTCTGATCCACTCTTTAGGCAGACCTGTGAAAACACTGTTGCAGTAATCAATTCGACTAAAAATAAACGCATGGATCAGTTTTTCCAGATCATGCTGAGACATTAGTCCTTTAATCCTGGAAATGTTCTTCAGGTGATAGAAAGCCGGCCTTGTAATTGTCTTTAAATGCTTTTGGAGGTTCAAGTCTGAATCCAGCACTACACCTAGATTTAGGGCCTGATCAACGGTTACTAGCTGAAGCCACTAAAGCTGTTTTAAATCAGGTTGGGTCCGGATTATCCAGCAGGTGGGTCTGAATCCGGCCTGCGGTCCGCTAATCGGTGACCTCTGTACTATAGGTTCAAATAAGGATTTCTTTATTTTTCACAATCAATGATTATAGGAAATCTAACATCTATGCAAACACTGCACACTAGAAAATAAATATGAGATCAATCTTACGAGTAATTTGTGAAGAGGAAAAGCGGTCTAAGAGTCCATTCAAATGATTTCTTAGGATGCGTCCAAGTTTGGCCAAATGAGTCAGTTCATTCAGTAATGTCCATCAAAATAGCAGCAGGTAAATGTGAATGACAATAGATGCAGTTAAAAACAGCATTATTTCAATCAGATTATAATGGTTAATGCATTAAACAACACAGCACTGTAGCACGTCAGCTAGCCTAAATGGCCTCAGTAAATTGTTCCCCCCTTTCAATGTTTTTAAAATACAGCTTTCTCAGAGGTCGTCCTCTGCTGATGATACCAGCCATAGCTTGTTCACTGCATGCAGAATCTTCACAGCAGGAGCGGTACCAGGCGATGACATATAGTTTGTTTAAACAAGGCGAAAACTCGGTTTTCTCATGTTGACAGCAGCAACGCAGCCGCTGCCTCCTTCTATAGGATGGCGGCACAGCTGCCCCTTTTCCACCTCCCTCTTTCTCGGTTACAAGCCGATGTCTGTTTTGACCAGTTGTAGAACCGAGTCCTTTGCTAGATGGAAGAGGCGAGGCAGCAAAGAAAATTAACCCATCAAAACAGGAGACAGCCGTGTGAAAGGTGAATTGTACGTGAGGAAACTAGTGTTGATGTGACCCTATTGAGACAGTAATGCAATCTGTTAAAACAGGCTAATCAGTTATATGCAGTGACTTTGGGCACTGTTGAATGAGATGTGATGTATCCAATGCTTCCAGCAGTGATGGGACGCTATTGTTCCCGATATGACCTTTTTGTAAAGTATTTTAAGTCTGAATAACATTATTGAAAAAGAAAATTCTTGTGTGTAGAAGAAAAAAAAACATCTTTAGAAGAGAACTTCTGCAGAGCCAACGCATGCCTTTCATTTCCTTTCTCTCTCATATGCATTTCTCTGATCCATGAAAGCATGATTTTATTTACAAATAAAAATGAAACATTTTAACAGATTAACATGGTTGTTTAGAGCATATAAAAATCTAGAGAATGTATTACCCCCTCAGTGTCATGAACCGAGGACAGAGGGACCCAGTATTCAAGGAGAGACAGCCAGTAGGACGTGGAACCAGAACTTGATGCAGTACCTTTAAACTGGTCTCCTCCTTGGAGCCAGGATTACTGAGATAAAAACTTAACCTCCCCACATATAGAGCCAAAAACCCAGAGGACTCAGTGGGGGACAGAGATGGCAAAAGTACTCACTTTCCGTACTTGAGTAAAAGTACAGATACTTGTGTTAAAAAATACTCTGGTAAAAGTGGAAGTACTGATTAAACTTCTTTACTCAAGTAAAAGTAACAAAGTACAGGCTTGTA